CAGTATTTGCAGGCGAAACCCTTCCTTTTGTAGGCGGAACCGGATCTGACGAGAGATGAGCCACGCGTCTGCTGACAGAGCCTCGTGCTTCCCAGCTAAGACATTGGATCGTGGCGATCGTGACTTGACAGCACGATCCTCGTGCGTTTCGCCCTGCGACGTATCGTGGCCGTGGTTCTCGGACTCAACCGTCGGATTCCAACGCTAATCTCGGTCCCTTCGATGCACTGAGGGTGATCTGGGCCGTCGAATTTGATCGTGGCCCCGTTTCCTGTCCGTTAGGGTTTTCGCCTTTCGAGGGCAGTCGTGGTCACGTGGGCAACTCCGCCCTTCTAAATCAGCCGTTTTCCTCCATTGGGATTTACCGTGCTTTCAAATCTCGAAAGGGAACATCCAAGGAAAGAATTCCCGCTTCCTCTTACAATGGCTCCGAAACCTAAGAGGTGCAAAGTGAGGGGTGCAGGTCCCGGACGTTACTCCGACCGTCTCTCTGCCGGCATGCCTGCTGGTGCTCTGGAGTCGTGCCCAGGTACGTTGATGGATTCGTTGGGCGATCCCTTGCAGGCCTTAGGCGTCGGATTTAGGGAGATGAGTGTTGCTTATTTCCCCGATTTGGGGCAAAGTTTGCCCTATTTTGCCTTTAGAGGATGAGTACTGTCCCCGCGGGCGAATTCTCCAGTGGGGAGGAGACGAACCCCTTTTTCGTAAGGCGAGTTCGGCCCTTCCCATTAGAGGGGAGTGTAGTCCGTAGGGACAGACCTCGTTCGAAGTGGGTTCCCCCTTTCGATAGGCGATTTCGCCTTCCTATGTTCGATGGGCGATTTCACCTCTACAGCGGATTTTGTCTCAATTGACTTTCTATTTCTTGTTGCAGCGACCTTCCCTGATGAGGCTTTCCCGGAGGGTGTGGCCGTTGGCCACGTCGGGGCTAAGAGCTACACGGCCCCTTCTCGTTTTCCCTCGTTGGCTCCAGTACCCTTGTTCACTGCTGATAAGCTGCATGGTCTGGTACAGAGGGTCACGGATGGTCATCACTTGACCCTGCGCGAGCTGACGACCAATGCGGCGCTGACAGATGAGGCCAGGGCAGAGCTGCCGAAACCTCAATTTCTGTTCGGCGACTCCATGACCGACCCTTCTGCCCTGTTGCTCAAAGAGAGCCGGTGGTTCCGCACGGTAGAGGGGACCCATTATTACCTCCCCAGCATGCCGAGAGGGTTTTCGATTGTTGAGCTGCGGTCCCTCGCGATTCCTCGGACGATGAACTGGGATTTGACCCCCACTCAGGACGGGGTCACTTGTGGCGTCTTTACGGGTTCTACGGCTGGGTATGGAGTGGAGAGCTCATGTAAGCGCGTGACGGGTCTGCGCCCTGGCTTAGTGTCTGCTGAACCGCCCGTGGGGGAATCGACAGCGGTGGCGGAGACTTTCCGTCACCGCTTCTTCCGAGTCGGTGGAAGCTTTCCCCCGAAGGACTTCAGGGCCCCGGGGTGGGTTTACTCTGCGCCAGGCAGCGACACGTGGTGGTCCAAGATCACCGACTATGTTTTGGCCGAGAATGCTGACCTCAAAGGCACAGAGCTGTATGTGGCCCTCGAAGCCACTCGACATGGCCTGCGGATCAACGCTTCTCAATTCCATAGCATTCTGGAACTGTCTCGCCCCCCGCGAGACAGTATTTACTGTCTCGCCTTGCGAGACAGAATTTACTGTCTCGCACACGAGACAGTTATCAGTGGTTCAAGAAACTGTTTTGCAACCGTCGACACGTGGCCACTAACTGTTCAAGAACGTGGGAAACGTCGTGGGCGAGAATCACGTGGATAACTGCCAAAATAACGGAGTTTGAAACGTGGGAAAGCAGTTACATCGAAAACTGCCAGAAATGTAGACAGTATTTTACTGTCTCGCTGGGCGAGACAGCAAATTTACTGTCTCGCTGGGCGAGACAGCAAACACTGTCTCGGCCAGCGAGACAGCAAACACTGTCTCGCCCGCCGAGACAGCAAATGCTGTCTCGCGAGCATTGTTCATCCAGAGGGTTATAAATACCCCCCCGAAGGCTATTTTCACAGAGAGGAGAGGGGCTGATCATTGTGAGTACTTCAGAGCAATCCAGAGCAATCCAGAGCAGAGAGAGAGCAGAGGTGCTGATCTTACGGCCAATCCTTGAAATTGAGCTTTGACTTGATTTCAAGAAGAACGACTATCTTACATCGATAAGATATCGTTTCAATTTCTCACTTCGATAAACGAAGTCAGAATCATAAACCCCTCACGGTTCAATCAGAATCTGTGACTTGGTGGTCCACGAGTCAAAGCGCTCCCGGCACAGGCAAAGATCCCACGAAAGCAGTGATCCAAACAACGATCCTGCGTTTATTTTCTCAAGAGTTGTAATTTTCTTTTTGTTGTGTAAAAGAGTCTTATAAAAATGTTGTTTTCTTTGAATTTATTGTAATCGACCGAAGATATAATGAATTCGACAACGAAACCAACTTTTGGCGAAAACACTCGGAAGGATGCTTGAAGTCACCTATCATGATTTGCACTTATCATGATCTATATATATAAAAAATTATATTGTTTTAAAAATTTTAATCATTATTTTAGCTATATATAGAAGAGACGGTTGTTAAACGTACTGCTTGAAAAATTAACATATTAAAGTAGTTTGATCCACATTCTGGAAGAGTTCAAATTATGTGAAAATTTTATCATTTACATTTGATAACGTGTTGAACAAGATGTAAGGTGCTGACCATGAAATTGATGAGCCGGTTAGTCTGGCTCATGATAAGATTTGAGCTCATCATCTCACAATAAGCTCATTTTGTAAAATGAGTTGCGAGCTTAATGACATGTGAACCCCCTGCCAGTCACATTGGGGGTGAGGCTCACATGGCAGTAAGCTAGCAACACATTTTGCAAAATAAGTATATATATATATATATATATATATAGTGTGTGTGTGTGTGTGTTTGCAATTAGCATATGTTAATCAGTTTTTTGGAAAGGCTAATTGGAGGCAGATAGAGCAGGAAATATAAAGAATGGTCCTGACAATTTGCTCCAAACTAGTCACACACGTAACTCGCATGATTAGTTAAACTAATTCATAGTAACATTTTGAGAAGTCGACGGTAGCATCTTAAACCCAATTTTGCTGGATCTATTGGTGTGAAAGAACCTCTCTTATCGCAAAGGGTTCGGTTGTCAATAGTGAGAATCAATTTCTATGAATGAGCTGTTTCGATACCTATCGATTTTGACGGGTGACATTATCGACGAACGTCGTCTCGTAAACTTGGGCCACAAGGCCCACAATAGCAGAAGCATATACAGTTAAACTTTCCTTTCGCGGGTTCATGCTTACTAGGTACCAACCCGGTTGCTCAAACTCTAAGCTCGTGCTTCCACCTTTCGAACCAGAAAAAACGGTGCGAATCGCAGATAACATCAAGTTAGATCAAAACCGAACCCGTTAAAGGGATGGATGGAGCTAACAACATTCAACTTGTATAGGTTGCTCGATCTCAATGCTTAGCCCCCTCCCTTTTCAGTCCGGGACAGTAGGATGCAATCTTCATGGTAACTAATAAAAGATTGTGTTATTTGCATGTTTGTTTGCCTAAAAAATAGAGGGAAATCAAAGAAATGGAAAACTATTTCTAAGAAAAATTGTTTTGGGAATGTTTTGTTGGCTAAAAAAAAAAAAGAAGGAAATCAAAAAATTGGAGATGAGAGATGATGTTAGTTGTCACCTTATTATTGGATGATGTGAGTGGTTTTTTAAGAAAACTTATTTTGATGTTGTTTGGTTGGTGAAAAAAAAATAAGGAAAGGAATTATAAGAAACCTATTTCCTGTAATAGGTTGTTTTCTTTTTTTATTTGGTTCACTCTTAAAAATAAGAAAATAGATGTGATGAGATGAGTTGTCATTATATTATTGAATGATGTGACCCGCACTTAAGGAAATCGTTTTCCTAGCTTTTCGGGAGGAAATGTGTGGAAATAAAATGTTAATGAGATAATGTGAGTTGTCACCATCTTATAGGATGATGTTGGCGATTTAAAATGATGAGATGAGATGAGATGAGTTGGATAATGTTGTGGATGGATATAATATTTTATTAGATGTGGTGGATGAGCTGTTGAATAAAAATAATATTTTATTAGATTTAGATGTTGTAGATAAGTCGTTGGATGAAAATAATATTTTATTGGATGTTGTGGGTGAGTTTTAGAGATGAAAATGGGTAAAATTGTACTTTTTGATATCACCACCTTTTCATTTTCATTTTTTGGTTTTCAGGAAATCAACCAAACATATCCTAAAAAATATTGCTGTCAATTTGAATGCCCGGTCGATGTGGCCGCGTTTGCTCCCTTCATTGGACCAACCCCCGTTCCCGCTTACTCCTGCCGGTCCCGACTCAAACTTTCGCCGTACCGCATGCTCCACGTGTGCTTTGAAAGTCGTGCGGCTGAAACCAGCTCTCCCCCCCGACAGGGAAGAAAGGCGCGTCCTTCTGTCTG